AACCTCACTTTTTCCCAATCTAACATCTGTCAAATTTTTGACCATGTTGGGGGCGTCTTATTAAAAAAAAAAAAAAAAAATGAATACCCTAAAAACTATAGGCGATGTAAAAATACAAATAACGTACACTATCCATTTTTCCTGGTCCAACCCAGCTATTTTTTGTTGTTGCAAAGGATAATGATTTAATACATCCCTAAATCTAAGAGTGCGCAATCCTTTTAAAATAAAAAACCGTCTACTTATTGTATTAAATTTCCCATGGAGCAAGACTGCATCTCTCGTTTTTTAAACATTAGACAGAGATTCGAATCCGCTCCCGTTCCACCATTAATCCATCCATCTCAAAGATAGGGTGAATATCAACACACCACCACCAAGGCAGGATTTATATATTGCTAAACCGTGACTCGCCAGAATCCCCGGTAACTTTTTTAGCCATTGCCGTCGTTGTAATTCAATGATATAATTGTCCGAATTGAATTGAATCTAAAAAACGTTCGCACAATAATGAAAATCCGTCTAGTCACGGTAGCCCGTGAATGTTGACGTTGCATTGTTACCCCTTGGAGTTACGTATCAATGCCGCCGCCGTTGATGTGCGCTATCGGGGGGTTCCCCATTGTGGAGCGTTTTCCTTCATTCGATTTGGCTTTTGTGCCCGCCGAAAGACGGATATTGTCGGAACGTGCCACCAGCAGTTAAGAAAATAATTAAGCATTCACTTTGTTTTATAAATATTTTGATACGTGGGTATTTTCTGCGATGAAACAATAATGGGATTGTTTGAATTATTAAGCTAATTGAAAAACACGAAACATGTAGACAAGCATAACACTTCACTCAATAATCGTTTTAAAGATTTTAGTTTTTTTCTTATAAATATATAAAAAGGATAGTTTGTATGTTTAAACTTTATTCACGTTTACTTAAAAATAAGAATATTTGAATTTTTAATAATAGTTTTATAAAAACATGCAAAAAAGTATAGTAATTGGATATTTTCTATTATAATAATTGGACATACAATTTTTATATAAACATAACAACTTTACATCAAATAACATAAATTGTTAAATATTTTTTAAAGATAAATTGCTGTTTTAGGTAATTTTTTTTATTTCGTTTTAGTAAATATCATATCATTCGAATATTTCTTTCTCGGATTCCTCATCTCTTTTCTGGATTCTGAAGGTAACTACTAATTCCTTGGTCTGACTTCAGAAATAGTTTGTTGCAAATATCATTAAGTGTGGTATACCAGAGATATATCTCTAGTTTGGGAAGCATTCATTATATTTAGGCCGGAACAGGATGATTTATATATATCTAATATTTTTTCGGGTTGTATGTTAAAAGTATTTTCCGAATTTATTAATTTTGTTGCCATTATGTTATCTATCATGCACTGTATTTAAAACACTGTTATTCTGCAAAATGTCCTGTGACGAAAAAATCACTACATTACTTACTCTCTAAAAATGAATTAGTCGAAAATGTCATAGCGAAAAAGCAGCCACTAATAATTCTTGTCAACAGCAATTTGTATCCAGGACATTTAGCAGTCAATTCCTATGAAATATTATTCGCTGAATCCGAAAATGTCGTCAAAAATTATAAAAGTAGGTAGAACAGTTTTTGAAATATAATCAATTTTAAATATAATATGGAATTGACTACATCTCAAAAACTGCTTAACTTTTATAGTTTTTGACGGTCTTTTCGGATTCAGGGGACAATTTTACATAAGAATTGGCTGGTAAATGCCCGGGATATAAATATAGTATGATATTGGACAAATGTCCAATAATAGAAATTTAATTCGACACTGGCCATTTTACTGTTTATTTTCAGAATTAAAATTAGAACGCATTAAAGTGACAATGCTTAAACCATTAGGAACACATTTATACTATCTGTACACTTTTTAGAAATATTTTTTATTGTAATTTAAACACAGCCCACAAAAATCTTACCACCAAAGTAACGTGCGAACTTTTTTGTCCTATATTGGACCCAAAATAAAGTAGTTATTATTATTATTATTACCGACTGAGATAGTTATAATTGTATACAGCGTCATCTAATGATTTGACTTTAAGGTAACTATTTATAGAACTCTAGTTTTTACAGTATTAATGATAATTGACCAATAACTATAAAGTGTCCGATAACTGTCTACTTTACCCTATTTGAATTAGTACATCATTGTTTACTTATAAAATAGTACGTATAAAAAGTGACTGATAGCACATTGGTCTAAGGGTTATTGGTTAATTTACTTAGAATGCTAGTTATTTAACAAGTTCTACCAATTGGTAGGTCCAGGCCTAAAAATCATTCCAAAGGTGGTAGCATTGATTTTTACATTATGGTGATTTAAAACAGTTTGACAGTTGCATATATTCCAGCCCAAACCATCACAGAAGTTGTAAAATAACTTCAAGTAACAACGTTTTTTCGATTTGATGTCTTCAGAAGTCCCTTCCCTTGGGAGCGCACTTTTCTCACCATTCCCCTTTTCACACACACAAACCCGGGAAATCAATCACTGACAAATGGAGTTGTTTTTTACGTGTTACGCGTAGTTTTTATTGGAGGCTACGTTCGCCCCGAAATGAAATTGTAATATTGTTGTTGCCGGTGAGGTCTATGAAAAAACGATCCATCTCCAGGAAACTCCCGCAGGATCCGGAGAGACGGTCGGCCGTGGAAATTTCCTCGTATCGATAACCAGATTGCAAACAATAAAGAAACAATAGAGATAAGCACGCCAGACAGCTCTGACAGCCGTGTGAGAGATTGCCTCGAACAATATCGCTGACCAAACGTAACTCTCACATTGCAAGAAGATTAGTGGTAGTGCACTGGATTTTAATTTTATACCACTTTGATAATTTATGTAACAAAAATTAATAAAAATGATAATATATAAAATATTAGAGTTGATTTGTGTAAAATGCACTAGGTAGCATTTAGTGCTTATTAACTTTATTAAACCCATTTAAAGAATATGGACATTATTCCTTGGTACATTCACACTATTTATTATTAAAATAAATCAAAAGGGTAGAAAAACTTAATGCGAGTGTTTATTACCCCTTAATGTGTTAAATAGTGACAAAATGTACACTACAGTGCATGCCAATTTCTTTGTCTGTTTTGATGTTACTAAGAGCTCTTTTTTCTTTACACTACTAGTGCCCATTGTATCACAATTAAAGTTAAATTACACCAATAGTGGCAAAATAGACTGAAAAAACTGGAAATGCGTTTTAAAATGTTTGGTTGGTAGCTATCTACCTACGCAGTGCATGTCCGGAGATACCGCGTTGTGGAAGTGTGGCATTTTTGTTCAGTTATAACTGATCTATAGATTTTAATTACGGTGAATCCATATATGGATTCACCCCTTATAAGGGGACATTCTTATTTTTTGGCAAGTATTATACTTTTTTCTTTAAGCCTTAATACTCAATAAATACCAATATGTTAAAAGGATGTCCATACCCGACCTGTATTATATATCAATAATTTACGGCAGTAGGTCGGGTACTTGTAATATTAATAATATAAATACATACACACTTCATTTACCTTTTATTTTCAAGCGTAATGGTTGTTATATTAACCTATACCTACATTTTTATTAATATTATGGAAAATTTGTACACGTGTGGTAAATCCCCGACATACAGCCGCCTGACGCCTCTCTATCAATGGGATCACCCATTTTTTATAACAGAAAAATGGATTACTGATGAATTCTCAAGATAATTCATTGCTTACAAGTTTACAGCCAGTAAAACATTGCATTGATCTAAAACTTTTACGTTTTAAGGAACCATTTTGCTTAAGCCAGCCATACGACTCAAATATAAAATTATATTTTAAAAGGCACCGATTTTGATAATTGTCATAGATTTTTGTTCCAAATAAATGTTTCTCTTTATTTACCTTTTCGTTTTATTCACTACCAACAATAGGTTTTACTCAAATAAGAGTGTTAATTTACACTAGAAGTTTGCACTAAAAGAGTAAAAGTACCTTTCTAAAATTAGAACTTTTACAAAGAAGTGTTAATTTACACTGAACAAAAGTGGGATTTTACCCAGGAAGTGTAGAAGTACACGATTTTAAAAAAATTAACACTTTTTAATACAGTGTAAAATTACTTTATCCTCAGTGCTATAGTGTTAAATCATACTTGCTTACTTGGGGAAAATAACACTACAAATTAACTCTAATTGTAGTGTTATAAAACAACACTATTTAGTGTGGACCTGTGTGAACTCTAATTAGTGTTGCTTAGAGTTGATTTTTTTTTACTGTGTATACACAGTCTATAGACAACAAGTTAAGATTAAAAGTAAAATGATGACAATTAAAAAATAATAACGATGTAAAAAAATGTTACAGCTAAAATTGACATTATTTATATTTGTTCCAAAGCTATAGCTTATTATGGGAATCAAAATTATACAAATAACTAAGTCTCAAGTTGACAGTTATCAAAATAACATATGACGAAAAGAACGTGATAAAAGATTAAAAAGAGAAGAAGATCTAGGAGAAGGCATATAAGACCAAAATGGAAGTAGTTTTTTTAATTCATAACCCCAAGTAGATATTTACAACCTCCTTTTTTTTAAAATTTACTATATTTTTTTCTTCTAACTCGTACTTATGTTCATGATAATAAAAACATATTCCATAACCACGTTTTAAGATATTACATGAAAGTGTCATAATCAGAGCCTTATATTCCTATAAAGTACCCAGATAATCTAAAATGATAACACTTAAAAAAACATAATCAGTCTCCCTAAATTTCGCACGACTTTTTACGATGCCATCCACTCATTTACAAGCCCAGATAACCGACATAACATGAGATAAGAACGTTTTTAATGTAATTATATAAAGGTGATCTCGAAATGACCCGAAATTTATACTGATAAACCATGGCATGATAAAAATTACAAGATTACATGCATTGAAAATATCTTTAACCTTAGTTAGTGTTAGTTAAGCACCGGAAGGTTAAACATGCCCGCTGTCACAGATTACCAAGTGTTGGCCGATTTGGCCACCAAAATCAGGATTCACAGTGTTGAGTCCACAGCGGCTGCTAACTCTGGGTAAGAACTGCAATGTTAAAACTATATAAAAAACAAATATTACAAAATATTGTTCCTTGGCTCAACTATATTTTTAAGAAAATTTGTATGTCGGTTAAATACATTTTCAAAAACATTTGTAAGTCAACAAATGTCGTATTAATCGACATCAATGACATCATAGAGATAAAGGTTGTTTACTATAACTCCTAACCACCTTAAACCAAAACTATTAAGAAAGATCATTATGATGATAATAATTGGATAATTATTTTAGACATCCATCAACATGCTCGTCCATCGCCGAAATTATGTCGGTGCTTTTCTTCAACACCATGAGATACAAGGTATCCGAACCAAGAGACCCGTCGAGCGACCGTTTGGTGCTCTCCAAAGGCCATGCTGCACCAGCTTTGTACGCAGCCTGGGCTGAAGCCGGCTTGGTACCGGTTAGCGAGCTCAAGAATCTCAGGCAATTGGGTTCCGACCTTGAAGGTCATCCAACTCCTCGTTTGAGCTTCGTCGATGTTGGTACTGGATCCTTGGGACAAGGTTTGGCCATTGCAGGAGGTATGGCTTATGCTGGAAAGTACTATGACAAGACTGATTACAGGTAAAAATGGCTTGGCTTGTCTTCAAGTTTTGTTTTATTTCGTCAATTTAGCCTACCAACATCATAGTTTGTCGTTATACACTGTTCAAAATTTGATGACCATTTTAACACTAAATTAACACCATACATGGTCTATATCGATAAAAACCAAAATGGTGTTAAATAAGGTTCGTTGGTCCGGTGTAAATTCAAATACTAAAATGGTGTAAATTTAACTTTCACACAGTATTAAAATAAATTTTACCTGGTGTAAATTGAACCCCTTTTCAGTCTTAAATATAATGTGTTTTTGGTCAAATTAAATCATACTACACAGAAAAAAAGGAAACAGGAAGTTCCTTGACGCATTACAAGTATATTACTAGTGGTATTATTCCAGAAAATTGAACCTTCAACTCGCTAGAGATAATGTTTTTATTGCGTTCCACCATCTTAAAATACTTCAAGTATTGACAGCTGTTTCCACCTATTTAAGGTCTCTTTAGTATCGAACAACTTGTAGTGTCACACCAAAGCAAAGGACTACCTGAGCTTATATACTCTTCATGTAAGTCAACAGAGGCGAGATTTAAGAACACACTATGCAACCCGGAATGCACGCAAATTGTTTTAATCGTTTTAACAGAGTGCTTTAGGTTGAAGTAACTCTTATTTTACAAACAACATATTTAGTAAACTGAACCATACAGCGGGTTGGTTTCACTTTCTGGGTTAATTTAACTAATTTAAAAAAAATAAAATAACTATCTGGTTTAGTACCGTCAAACTAATCTTTGTTTATAGTAATCTTCCCACAGTTGATTTAAATAAATACTTATGGGTCAACTAAATTAATATAAATGAACTAACTATTCCTTTTTTTCTTTGTAGGTGCACTTCTCAAATATTTTTAGATAAACACCGTTTTGGTGTTTGCTGTATAAAACATTTTCAACCATAATTCATGGTGTTATATTAACACCACTTGGTGTTGGATTTTGACACCATTTTAAGAATACTTTTTATTTTAAACAGTGTATAAGCTTGTATCATCAAAACTCGTCATGTTTACAGCCTATTTTCATTTTACCCCGCCACAATCCTAGATTGTCCTTATTTGTATTATCAAAACCAATAGCTTGTTTAGTAATCAATTACAATCAAAGCATATTTTATTTTGTTATTTAGAGTTTATTGCATCATTGGAGATGGAGAAAGCGCGGAGGGTTCGATCTGGGAATCAATCCAATTCGCCAGCTACTACAAACTTGATAACTTAGTATTGATCCTCGACGCTAATCGTTTGGGACAATCGCAACCTAGTATTGTTGGTCACGATTTGGAGTTGTACAAAAAACGTTTTGATGCTTTTGGATTTAACTCCATCATCTGTGACGGTCACAATGTGGTGGAACTGGTGAACGCTTTTGATGCTGCTGAAGCTTGCAAAGGCAAACCTACCGTGCTTATCGCCAAGACTTTCAAAGGTCGCGATTTCCCCAACATTGAAGATATGGATAACTGGCATGGGAAAGCTTTGGGACCACACAGCGAAGGCGTCGTAAAACACCTCAAGTCCTTGATCAAATCCAAACAACCCTTCAAGTTCACAATCCCAGCACCACTCAAGACTGTACCTAAAGTAGACATTACCAACATCAAATTGGATTCACCACCAAACTACAAACAAGGCGAATCCATCGCTACCAGAAACGTTTACGGTACTGCTTTGGTAAAATTGGCCAAAAACAACTCGCGCGTTGTGGCTTTAGATGGTGACATGAAGAACTCCACCTTCTCTGAAATGTTGAAGAAATTCGATAACAACAGATATATTGAATGTTTCATTGCTGAGCAAAGCATCGCCGGTACCGGTATTGGTTTGGCCTGCAGGGATCGTACCGTACCTTTCTGCTCCACTTTTGCCGCTTTCTGGACCAGAGCTTTCGACCAAGTAAGTAACTTTAAAACAATGGGGTAGTTAAATTTTTTCAGACCTATACTTTTTATGGTTTTATTCAAGGTGTTTTGTAATATTAAAAATTTCTGTGAAATCAGAATTTCAATTGAGTTTACCGTTTTCGAGATATTTACAAAAAATATAAATTTTTATGACGTCACAAACCTCGCCATGTGACCAACATTCTAAGATTTCTATTGGTTGAAAATTACCATGTTGTCAAGTTGTCTTGTTAATGATTTCATTCGGTTATGTCAGAAAATACCCGAAGAGGTTATGTACAAATACTGTCACTGTCAGTTGAGTGAAAGAAGAAGAAGAGGAGGTTAAAGAAAATTCTGAAATTAAAAGTTCTATTGATAGGTTTACACATTGAGACACCGTGTGAAACCTAATAAAATGTAATAAATAGGTACCTAATAACTGTCTAAAGCAGAGTTTAATATATTTCATAGAAAAAAGTGGCAAAATAAAGCTGAAAATGAATGAAATAAATTAACAAAAAATAACAGTAAATGTAAGTTAACAATGGTATTTATGATATTTGTGTATAGTTTTTATAAAAGTTGCATCCCTGATGATAAGCATCAAAACCTTTTGTAATACCTATTAAAAAAATGTATGACAAACTTTTGGACTGTTCGAATATACTACGCTCTAGAGTACATTTTTGTATACTTTATACTTTATACTTTATACTTTATTTTTTATACTTTTCGACAATTCTGGTTTAAATATTGCTGCAATAACGTACATAGTAGGTAAAGATAGTGCAGGGTCTACAAATAGACATTTTGATTAAAATTATTCAAACAGATGGTCACCAAATTCATTAAGTACCTACATATCTTCCTTATTACGAGGTATCATATTACTGTTTGATATTTTAGTCCAAGATATATCTAAAAGAATATAAAGAACTAATGAAATGCATTTACGACAAAATATGATTATAATTATAGGTACTTTTATTTGTTTAAAAGCTCCAATGTTCAATGTAACCAACCATTCCACAAGATTCCTCTGCTTTGGAGTCCGTTATTAATAAATCACTTATCTAATATCAATTACAAATAACATAACAATAACATTGATTTTCAATAATCTAAATTTAAAAAAAACATAACCCGAAAAAAAGAAACGTCAAAAAATCAATTCTTCTTCTTCTCAACTAAAATTATAGATCAAGTGGTTTTAAAACTAAAATATTATAACGTGGCGCCATCTATCGTAAGAATCTTAAACTAAACACACTGGCAACCATAGAAAAAGCTGGCAACGTTGTCAATAGCCTAGTGACGTAATTAGGAGATTTTTTTTGTAAATATCTCGAAAACGGTAAACTCAATTGAAATTCCGATTTCACAGAAATGTTTAAAATTACAAAACGCCTTGAATAAAACCATAAAAAGTATAGGTCAGTAAAAATTTAACTACCCCATTACTTATACATCTAATACTTCTTAATCTTAGATTCGTATGGGTGCTATTTCTCAATCCAACGTAAACTTCTGCGGTTCTCACTGTGGTGTCTCCATTGGGGAAGATGGCGCCAGCCAAATGGCCTTGGAAGATCTGGCTATGTTCAGATCTATCCCTGGAAGTACTGTATTCTACCCAGCCGATGCAGTGGCTTGCGAAAGGGCTGTTGAATTGGCTGCCAACACCAAAGGAATCACATTTATCCGTACCAACAGACCGACTACTGTCGTAGTGTACCCCAACGACTTTAAATTCAACATTGGTCAAGCTAATGTCATCAGAAGTTCGAACAAAGATCAAGCTCTTGTAATCGGTGGTGGAATCACGCTGCAAGAGTCCCTCAAAGCCGCAGAAATGCTTGCACAAGCTGGCATCAACGTAAGAGTCATGGATCTCTTCACCATCAAGCCAATCGACAAGGAAGGTATCATCAGGAACGCTAGAGAGTGCGGCAGCAGAATTTTAGTGGTTGAAGATCATTACTACGAAGGTGGTATGGGAGAGGCAGTTCTTGGTGCCATCTCCGAAGAAAGAGATATCTACTTGAAGCAACATGCTATTCCTAGAGTGCCCAGATCTGGTACCCCCGGCTCAAGTGTTGGACTACTACGGTCTCTCTGCCATGCATATAGCTAAGCACATCGAGGGAATATTAAACAAGTAAATGTATCGTCTATATTAAATCATTTTATGTGCTGATTGGTTTTATTTAACAGCCTTTTTAATGCATTCAAGAGGACCTTTATTTAAAGTTTAATAGTCGTTAATAAAATCGATTCCGTTTATAAAATGATGATGACTATAATTAATATTCCCACAAAATGACCCATCATTATTTGTCTATTCTATTCAGGTAGAGTTTTGATCTTTCGACGGAAAGTAAAATAGTTTAGCGGTATTATTTTATTTTGACAATATTTTAGCTTGTTATCATTTTAGTTTATTTTGATTCTGTTTTTTTTGCCAAATACCATAAAATAATAATAAAATTTTATTTACTCAAGATTCAAACATTCGTATAAAAATCAAAAATTTTATCGGTAAAATTTTACCAATAGTGGTATTATATTCGATAAAACACATCTGTGATAAAACCTATAGATGCTTACCAAATTAATTAAATGTAAGGGGACTGTTTTAAGATTTGTAGATTATAAAATTATTTCTTTTAGGCTTCATTATCACAAAAAACTCGCATAACTCAAAGGATAATTTAACAAAAAGTAATATCAAAATACCAAAATATGTCTAAAAAAATAACTAGTCTTAACCATTTTCACTTTTTAACTTATAAGTAATATTATTATATGGGTGAATATATTGAGATGTGAAAATGATTATTTTTTATTTTTGGTTGTTTCACTGTTAGTCTAGAATGGGGTTTTTGGGAAGCCACCAGGTCTAGTAATAACATAACATAAGTGGTTCTGCACTAATGCAAGAATTTTAAGAAATCATACATTTTGAATATTAGAGCTTCACGGAGGATAGCTTCACAGAGGTTAGGATTTATTATGTTTTTTTAAAAACATCTCTTTGTATATTTAAAATAGGTAATTGTATCTTTTTACATCTTAATATTTTTTAAAAAATACAATTGTAAATACATAACATATTTATTAAAAAAATCTACTTACTGAGATATTACACTTCACGGTGGATAGGTTTTTAAATAGCAAATTAATGAACTTAAACTTTTGAATTATAAAACAGCAACACTCATCTGCATATAAATTCTAACTGACCTTCAGGAATCACATGCATCTTTAATGTCGTAAACAGAGGTTTTTGCTTATTTAAAATGATTAAAGCGCCATCCGTTGCATAAAATTTAAAGCAAAAACAGATTCACGGAGGATAGAATCAATTTTTGTAACACCTACATAAATGGTTATAAAAATTATTTCTTTTAATTTTTAATGATATTTTATATTTGATACGATTGCTTTGGATGTGTTTAATTTACTTAGTGAACTCATATTTTTAGTATGCTTTTACTACATATTTGAAAACATAAAGGTTAAATAATCCTGATTTACCTATAGATAAATTTAGTTTATTTTAAGAGTATAAATTAACTATAAGTAAACCAAATATTTAACTACATAGTTAGTAATATTACCAATAGGTTTCTTTTACTAGTTAAATTATACTATAGTATAAAAAATAACCTTTGAAATTACATTAATAGTAATTAATAGTAATAGAAACCGGTTGGTAAATTTAAGCTTGTAATTTTAAAATGTCATCATTTTAGTCTGTCATAATTTTATCTTTTTCTAATTATAGCTTGTGGTAATTTTTTCTTATTTTTATAACAATTAAGAAATAAAAAAATATATATCGTTATTATTCTTAATTTTACTATCTATAACTTTCGTTGTTGCTTCTTTAATAAACTCAAGAATACCTTAACCTATTTAAATTTTAAATGGCCTAATAGTCGTGATCTTTGATATTGGTAAAAACAATTTGGATATTAATAAAATCGATTTGTTTTATGAGAGAGCAAATGCTGATGACTATTATTAATATTCCCACAAAATAACCCGTCATTATTTGTCTATTCTATTCAGGTAGAGTTTTGATCTTTGGAAGACAGCGGTCTCTGAATGTTCAGTGTGGGTTAGTTATATTAAATTGGACATCGAGCAGATTGATTTGACTAATTCGACGACTTTTTTTCGAAAAGCCATCGCTTATCGACGGCTCGATCGATGCCATAGAACAGATGTTTATGAAACGTAATTTTCGAGTTCTGTTCTTTAGGAAATCGTCCCGAATTAAACGTTTCCATCCCAACTACTATAATTATCTATAATTCAGTGATATTATCTACCAGAACCGAACGATTTATGCCTTTTTATTATGTAATAATTGTTTACATAATTGACTGTACTCAATTGATAAGTGCAGCGAGGCATTCTCTTCTTCTATTTATCTAATAGACAAAACGTCCCACAAAGCTATTCGAAGACTTCTACGTTCTAGAATTTAGAACTCTCTAAAATTGAATAAGTCAAAAATAACTAATTATATAGTCATATTTGACTAATTGTCATAGCAACAGTGGCGTAGCGACAAATTTCGGACCCCCCCGCGAAAATCCTTACTGGGTCCCCTGATTTCAGGTATTTTTTACATGGTTTTATATTGTAAATAAAAAATAATACATCCGGTGACATGATTTTTTAAATTATTTATAAACGAAAAGTAACAAAAAAATAATTAAAAAAAAAATAAGGTTCTCCACTGTACCTACTTATAAATTATAAGTAAAATAATAGAAAATAATAACATATTTTTTTAACATAAAAAAAATAACCTTAAACTATAATAATTTTATCAGGCATTCTTGAATAGGTATATTTAGTTAATAATATTTACTCAGTAACTTTATATATTAAACTCTCTATAATATTAAACTAACCAATAATAAAATAAATACTTACATGTAAATACTAGACCACTTTGTGCTCACCACAGCTGACCGGCGAGAAACGCATGTAAATCAGTGGAAAAATAAAATAATCAGAAGCAGTCACAAATAAGAACCTACTTGAACCAATAGGAATATAAAACAAAAACAAACAACTTGTGAATCACAATCGTCAAAATTTTAGGGTTTCGCAAAAAGAACGCTTCAGAACTGTCAGAATAATACGCATAACTAAATGCGCATATCTGTTTAGAGTTAGGCTCATGTTTCCAAGTTCTGAATCGTTCCTGCGTAAACCCGCTGTCAATTGTTAAATAAGCGCGATTTTTAAAATTCATCAAAAGGTTCCGTTAGATGTTTTACATTTATGTTGTGATGGTAGGCCAATAATATCAAGTACCTACCTACATTTTGGTAAATTATGATATTTTTAATTAATCATTCATTATTATTCAATTTTTAGTATAAGTAAAATGGAAATAAGTATTTTAATGTTTTGGGGCAAGTATCGGCCGGGCCCCTACTAGGTTAGGGCCCCCCGCTTGGCGGGCGTTCGCGGTACTGTCGCTACGCCACTGCATAGCAAAAATATTCAAATTTGACTACACTTTTATTGTGTTTTGATCTTCCATAATTAAGTAGATATTACAGCTCAGGTTTCAGATTTTTAAACGAAATTAATTATTTTTAAAATGTTTTAAAAGTCTAAAACCTATCCTCCGTGACTGTTACTCTTTCTAGGTTAACCTATATGTTTTCAAATATCTGAGGTAGTAAAAGCATACTAAAAATATCAGTTCACTAAGTAAATTAAACACATCCAAAGCAATCGAATCAAATAAAAAATATTATTAAAAGGTTTTACAAAAATTGATTATGTCCTCCGTGAATCTGTTTTTGCTTTAAATTTTATGCAACGGATGGCGCTTTAATCATTTTAAATAAGCAAAAACCTCTGTTTACGACATTATAGATTGATGTGATTCCTGAAGGTCAGTTAGAATTTATATGCAGATGAAAGTGTTGCTGTTTTATAATTCAAAAGCTTATGTTCATTAATTTGCTATTTAAAAACCTATCCACCATAAAGTGTAATATCTCAGTAAGTAGATTTTTTTTAACTATGTAAGTAAATAGTAAAAAATAACTATTTAAAAGTAAAAACAAGTATTTTATTAGTTAACAATGCTGGTACTAATTCAAATAGTAGAATTTTGACTATTTTATTTTAAGAATTATTAATTAAAAATTATTAATTTAATATAAAATTATTACAAATTTTAAAGACGAAGAGGAATTTTGTTTAAAAATATATGTAGAACACAATATACAGGGTGCTCCAAGTATTTTTCTATGGATATTTCTGTTAAATTAGAGCCTATTAAAATGAAATTTATAAATTGGAAAAAAGCTAGCGGTTTTAAAAATATTTAAAAACAACTAAAAACCTTTTAAAACTTAATGGTTTCTATGGACTTTGAAAAAAATAAGTTTTACATTTACTTGATTTTTTCCATTTTCAACCATGTAAAATTTTAATATGGCGATTGTTTTTGTAATACAATTCGATTAACATTTATTTTATGTAAAAAACAATCATGGTGGAAAGAATGTATTAACCTTGAACCCTCTTATATTGCTCATGGTAATTTTATATAACCTAAGGTACTAGTTCAGTTTTATAGGACTATCTAAGTTACTTAAAGTTTTATTATATAATTTTAAAACTCTTATACATTGTAGTAACTGTTATTACTACAATTGATGTTATAAAACTTTTAATAGGCAACCACCTAACCGCTCAGGTTAGTGCTGTCAGGTTCGCCATTTTTGCCTGCAGTAAACTAACTAAACATTCGATTTAGTCCACTTAAAATATTTTTGTTAATAATATTATATTACTTATATATTCTATGCTAAATATTTTCTTTTTAACCAATTTTTAATTAAAGTTTAAAAGCATTGCGTCGAAAGTTAATACTATGCTTAATTTCTAAACATTTTTGGTTTTTAATTAATAACTCACAATTTTTATTTAAAAAAATTAAAGACAATAGTTTTATAAAACAGGTAACCGCAAACTGTATAAAACTCCTTTATAAACCTACTGGTAACGGTGGCTAAAGGTTATATAAAATGTTTATAGAAACAATTATATTACCTGATTATATACCTAGAGTTTACAGTAACCTTAAATGACCATTAAAAAACTAGTAAACTAAATGGCGATTTTATAAAACCTTTATATAACCTTTATATAATTTATCGTTACTATAAGTAGTACAAATTGTTTATTGGGAGTACACACCTATAGGTTCTTTTTGGTCAATCTGGCTGCTTTAAAAGTGCGGTAGGAAACTCTTGCAAACTGGCCCCAAAAC